TGTAAACGCGCCATTCATTTTGTGCACATGGCGGGTTGAAATCTGACCCGGGTCGAACTCAACCCGGGTTGAAACGCTTTATGTAAACACAGCCTCGCACTCAAGTAATGGTTGAAAACAGGCACACGACAACACACGTCACATAACGAAAATTGTAAAACATTTTTTGGATTGTCGGATCCGTGTAAACAGCCGAAAACGAAACAAACGCGACGGAAAACGAGGCCAGCACACCGTTTCGACTGTTTACACACCAAAATTTATCCGGCAGAACATTTCCGTTTTCAAATTCTTCCACCTTGGCCAGCGTTTTGGTTTTCTTCCGTTTTGGTGTACAACTTTTCCGTTTTGCTCCGCGTACCGTGTAAATGAACCATGGATACGAAAGGATTTCGTTGCGTTTTCGCCCCCCAGCGTTGTCGTGTAAACGCAGCTTAAATAAATGACTTGACAAGTCATGAAGGTCGTCAAGATCATACACTCAGTGGTGTAGACTAGCAGGATTTGTAGTGCTATCACCCCCAACATCCACACGCATCCCCCCCCCCCCCCCCCCCACACACACACGCACACCACACAGACACACAGACACACACAACCCCCACACACACAGACGCACACCACCCCACCCCACCCCCACCCCACACACCCACACACAAACATACACACACACACACACACACACACACACACACACACGTGACACACACACATACCGTCACCCACATGCGTGCACCCCTCCCTCCCCCTCCCACACACAGGCACACCCCCACGCACACCCCACACACACACACCATACGCACACACACACACACACACCCACATGCACCCCCCCCCCCACACACACACACACATACACACGCCCACCCACCCGCACGCGCTCACACACACGTGCCCACACACACGTGCCCACACACACGTGCCCACACACGCGCCCACACACACATACACACGCCCACGCCCACACACACACGCCCACCACATACACACACGCCCACACACACGCCCACCACATACACACACGCCCACACACACGCCCACCACATACACACACGCCCACACACACGCCCACCACATACACATACGCCCACACACATAAGGCAAACAATTGAGGATACTTGCAAGTACTTACGTCCTCAACAAGATGTTCAAAACTTGGACAAGGGTGGGCGAACTCCAATCAATATCCATTACGTAAGTAAAAGTGATCACCACATCCTGCGACTTCCTGTCGGGGCTGTTGCCCTCTGGCGTTATTGTCAAGTAGAATGTTTTAAAGTTGCCAGTCTCTTCGTCCGGGGTCAGTTTTTGCTGAAGAAATGCCTGCACGCCATCAAAGGCGATTTTCCCGACTGCATCTTTAATCGGGCCTTTGCCGTGGATAACTGCGGAAACAACGTTGGCCGTGAGATCGGGCACACACGACACACGATAAAGGTACACTCCTTGACCTTGACCTGCTTCACCGCGATGTATCTTGAACGAATTGGCCAGTACGCTGACTGCAACTGTATCAGCCAGCACGCCCTTACGACTAGCGGGATCTCTCCTGTGAGCAGGAGCGTACGTGCGGGCCTCAGGCAGGATTGTCCAACTGCGTCTGCATGTTTGGTTTGCCGCTGCGGCAGCGCCAGCTGAGTCATTGCCACCAGCAGAACTGGCCAATGACTCATTACCCGCCGCCTTTGCAGCAGCGCCAGCTGAGTCACTTGTAACGCCAGCAGAACTGGCCAATGTCTCATTACCCGCCCCCTCTGCGGCAGCGCCAGCTAAGTCACTTGTAACGCCAGCAGAACTGGCCAATGACTCATCACCCGCCGCCTTTGCGGCAGCGCCAGCTGAGTCATTGCCACCAGCAGAACTGGCCAATGACTCATTACCCGCCGCCTCTGCGGCAGCGCCAGCTGAGTCACTTGTAACGCCAGCAGATCTTGTGGCAACACGGAGACATGACGCGTACTCATAATCCTGAGAATGCTGGTGGTGATGTGCTGTGGCACTTGTACCGCTTTGCGAACGTCCTGCGGTATCACTGGGATGAGGTGCACCACTCCGCGAAGGGCGCCCACGTCCTTCAGCACCACGCGAACCACTCTGTGAAGGGCGCCCACGTCCTTCAGCACCACGCGAACCACTTTGCGAACGTCCTTCGGCATCACTGGGATGAGGCGCACCACTCCGCGAAGGGTGCCCATGTCTTTCAGCACCACGCGAACCGCTTTGCGAACGTCCTGCGGCATCACTGGGATGACGCTCACCACTCCGCGACGGTTGCCCATATCTTTCAGCACCACGCGAATCGCTTTGCGAATCTCTTTTTTTTCCAGACATAATTCCCGATATTCCCCGGCGGGCTAGAGCAGGTTTACCAGGAGTGGTAGCTGCAGGCTGACCATGTTGTCTTGCAGCAGCAATCGCAGCAGTAGCTGTAAGCTGATCAAGGTGGTTAGCAGCACCACGAGCAGTAGGTCTTGCTTTAGGTTTGTCTGGTTTGCCTTGGCCTCGGCCCTTTCCACGATCGTCAGAAGGCTGATCGGTAGAAGGCTTCTTAGCCTTTTTTGGGTTCTCCATCTCTTAGCTGTCTCACTATCTGCAGGCGCAAAACCAGTACATTGGAAATATAGACGCCCAGCGTACATGAACGAACACACAAATGCACGCCAGCACACGTTAACATGTACATACGTACGAGCATATACAAATACGTCCACAGGTACACACACACACACACACACGCACACATATACATGCACATACATACACATACATACACATACATATACACACACATATACACACACATGCACACACATGCACATGCACACACACGCACACCCGCACACACACACACACACACACACGCACACACACACACACACGGCAGCGCATACACGGCGGCATACAATACACATTGGACACTTCCCATGTTTCCGTGCAAGATATACGCATAAGCTGTCTACAAGTATAATTGGCAATAGGGAGAACATAATCAATATACTTGAACACACTTATTAACTTATTAGCATGCACAAGTTCAGTTAAAGTCATAAAATGAGACCATCCTACTAGGGCTACTCAGAAAGGGATGGGGACTAAGAGACTAGAAAGGTAGTTCCCAAACTCATGCAGACTTCGGCCTGAAGCCAGACACATTGCGATGCGTAAAGAATGCGTGGTTCAGTTCCAACGACTGAAGTGCACCTGAGAGACGCACTGTCGATAGTCAGTCGATAGAATTGAATCTAGTCGATAAGGAATTTGGGTCAGTCGTTTCACCCCTAATTATGGAGCGCTTTGTCTGCGTAGACGCCTTAAGGTCGGCAAAGCAGCCTGACCCCGCCACCACTTTTCGCGCATATCCGGGAATATAGTGGACTTTCGTATAAAAAAAATAAATAAAAAAAATTTCACGGTTCGCGTGAGACTCGGCTGGAAGCCGGGTCTCACGCGAACCGTGAAATTTTTTTTTTTAATAAATAAAAAAAACCTGGGAGATGGGGTTGCATATGGGGACGGTGCGGGTGGTGCGCTGCTGAAACTCGATGCCGTGAAAAGCACTAGATCAATGGAAAACATGAGGGGTTGGCCTTGAACTGAAATAGATATGGAAGCCAGGGGGAATAAACACCGCGATTGTCAAATGAACTGTGAAATATACGATACATGTCCGTACTTCGTGACAGAAGAACGGAGTGCGGCTTTTGTATAAAACTGATGCTGCACCAAAGGTCTGTGGTGCCGAAAATTCACTCGTTTTCGTATAGACTTGTACTTCGTGCACAACTGGTTCTCTTTCTCTCCATGTAGACACTCAACTTTTCCACTGCACAGACTCTGAAATCTGGGTTGAAATTATCATCCCAGTACAGTCTAATTCTACCTGCATGTTCACGATACAGGCAATAAACAAAAGGTCGATTTTTACAGTCCAAACTCAACAACCCCCGCCGTCGTTGCCAAGCTGGGCTATTGCAAGATGAGAGGAGGATGGGGGAAGGGGTGCGGGGAGCAAAGCCTCCCCCTTGCTCCCACCAGCTAGCGGTAAGCAGGACTCTCGCGAAGACCTCGATTGTGAGAACGCTCGGACACCCAGAGGAAGCAACACTACCGGTGGGGTTGCGCTGAAATGACCGTGAAGCATGATGCACATTCGACGCAACGCTGACAGTACGGAACGCAAGAGCCTGTCGGGACGGCTGGGGTGAGCTGTAAAATCCAGTACGATTCGTACGACACGACATGAAGCGGTCGTTGCGATGTTCAACGTCGAATGGCGCGAGTCATAAGGCACGACCCGCGATGAGGTGAATTTCAGACCTAATTATTTCTCCTTTTTCGGGACTTCTTTTCAATTATTTGTCCTTGAAAGAAGCGGAATCACAATACCAGTTGTTCATGAAGACCAAAAAATTAGCCCTGAAAACTGTGGCACTCAAATAATAGCCCCAGGAATTCGCGGAAGGAAATTATAGAATAGTTCGTCTGTCACGCTCCTGAACTATCCCTAAACACAGTTATAAGTGGCATGAGTTAACTGATCTTGCTGAAACTCAACTCTCAAGTTGTGCTAGCCACCCTGTGAGTTATCAAGGGAAGTGCAGTGTTCGAAATGCTAAAAATGTCGAAGTACGAATCGGGAGTAGTCGGCGAACGACACCGTCTCCTGTTCACACTCGAATTGCAGCCGTTTTGTACGCTTGCGTCCCCGTCTACGCCTGTCTACGGTATGAAAAGTTGAACTGATCCAACTCTTCCTGTCGCTTCCCGATCCGTAGATCTATGGCAGTACGGTGGCGTTCCCGTTCCTGGTGTTCACACTGGACGCCCACGGGTGTTAGCAGTGCATGAACTCTGGCCAGTCGTCCCCGAACGCAAAATGCGTAGAACCTACGCATTTGGATCTACCGTACATTTCCTCACGTTTCTGGCGAATCTGAGCGGTACGATGCTGTCGAATTGGGCCTGAATTTGCCCTGAACCAGCGGCTATCGAAGTAAAATTAGGTGTTTTGAAGGCCACACGGGAACACTGCGACCATGTCTTCTTTCCTGCGTCGTTTGTATGAAAATCGGAGTGTTTTTGAGCTCGTAGTTTCGTCTTCGTCGTGGAATGGCCGTGCGTACATTCTCCTTGGAATTACCAAAGTCACACCCCCGTTTCTTACATTACTACTTCAGTAGGAGTTTTGCCGGCAGCCACGTCGATAGTTTTTATCCCTGCTTCCATACGTCCTTTCATTGAACAGCCAAACGAAACTTTTTCGTGGCGCGGGGTCTCAAGTTTATCACTTCGAGTTGTAAACAACAATCACATCAACACCTCAAAGGACCAAAAAACCAAGTGAGCAAAGTATTTCAACGTTGCGATTTTGCCTGGCCTACTATGAAGATGGAAACTTTTACTCGGTAGCAAATACTCGTATCAATAAGCTGGGAGGGAGAGCGTGGCGAGTAAAATGTTGGGATGAAAAGAGCCACAGTCTCTCTCGGAAAAGGTCGTTCCTACACACAGGCCCTGCGCCGTCAGACCGTCCCGTCGCTTCCCGTCGATCCTTACGTCGCGTCCCGTCGCATCCCGTCGAATGTGAACTAGGCTTCAAATCATAGTACTAGAGTACTAGAGTAGTACTCGCGTGTTGACAAAAATTTTTAATAGTACCCCAGTCTGTGCAACCTTTCCACCATTGCAAAGCACGCACAGTATACAAAGGCAAGTAAGTGTTTTCCCTTGTCATGTAATCACTGTCACTCACATACAAATACCGTCATAAAATATAAAACACAAGTTTTTCTCATCTTTTTCTATTTCTTGTTTTTCATTAGCTTTAGGGGTCGTCCATAAATATCGAACTTTTTTCACAAAACGAAATAATTTCGTTATGGAGTGGGAGGGGGTTGACCAATTATTTCGTTTCAGAAAACATTGAAGCATGTACATATACATGGTCGCAGGAGCAGGTGCAAACCTGCATCTTTTGTTGTATTTATAATATGCATGCATATGTCAACCTTTTTTTACGTTCTGAGGGGGGGGTTGGGTCCAAACTAAAATAATTCGTTTGGTGAAAGACGTTCGATAATTACGGACGGCCCCTTAGCATGTTCATTCACATTCTTCATCATTTGTGAGAACTAGACCTGGTCTAGTGAGAAGGCATTCTACTGCCTGTAATTCTGGTGAAGTAAAATAAAGTTACAACAACAATAACAAGTGTCTGCCATGTAAATGTATACAAATGTGTTGGTCCAAGGCAGGGCGGCTGGACAGTCTGGTACCCCGAATAGCATTTCGAGCATTGAAAATGTGTTTATATAGGCTGCAGGTGTAACAGTAACACCGGCGACAGAATGCTTACCGTGTACTAGTGTGCTGAATAGAGATAGTAGAGGCACGTGCGTCGTCCTCCACTGAACTGGACTAGGCGGTGGGTAGATGTGCGCGCGGGCGTCAAAACGCAGTCAAGGTTGAGCCTTCCGATAAGTAGGTTAGTTATTCCGCTGTTGTCCCACGCGAGCCACGAATGGCGACGACGACGACGACGAAGAAAGTCTTCCTGGTCAGCGGCAGGCTTTTGTTCCAATGCTGTGGCAATATACAGGGAAGTGAACACTGGATAAGTCACCGTATGTCGTCAGCTCCTTCCGTGCGCTCACCGGCTCAGCGACTTCTTCGTCTAAGGGCGCGTTCGAATTGTCACTCTTTGACTTTTCGAGGAGTTTCGTTTTTCTGAAGAGGTGGCCTTTTCAGAAAAACGAAACTCCTGGAAACTCCACAACCTCATCCGATAGGAGAGGTGGATTACTTCCGAAGAGTTGGATAGCTACGTCGAGATGGTCGATCTGATCGGACGTCATCATCGCCACTGAAAAACTCTAAAATGATAGAAACCGTTCGGGACACTTCAACTAATCCCTTTTTTTTTAATTGTTCGAACAGTTGATGAAGACAATTCGAACGCCCCGAGCTAACTTAACTCTTTCGTAAACTGGCGGAGCAAGTGGCGGCGCTTGGTGGCCCACTCCAGTCACTGGACGATTTCACTGCTCATCACCTGCCCACCACAATCACTGGAACAGTACAGAACCAGGCTGAGACCAGCGCAGAAGGCCAGGGGCTAGGGCCAGGGAGAAGGCTTCGCACCTCTTCCGAGTGTGATCCGGGTGCTTCCACGCGTACATGTACTCTATTGTACTACCACAGTGCTAGCAACTGAAATCCGACCCCGTTGGATTTCAGTTGCCAGCACTGTGGTAGATATCTACTTCTTTGTGGCAGTTTTCGTCACTGCCGGCCACTGGTCACCGGTCCGTGCATGGTCATCAGGCCAGACATCATCATGATCATGGGCAATACGTAGATCTACTCATCATGTTGTTAGTTGACAGCATGTAACAAGGTGGAGGACACACGGTGTTCGGAACACAGTGACCTTACTACTGTACAACCATCCACGGTTGGTAGAGCCTCGCGGCCCTCGGTCGGTTGCGACCATCTGACCCGTAGATCTACGGGTCATTGACACATTGTTTCCGAACACGGTCTCCTCCACCTTGTGCTGTCAACCAACCGCA